AAAAAATCTCATGTTTTGAAAAAGGAAAAAATTATTTTTCTCTTCTGCCTCTGGGAAATAATTCTTCATTTTTTTATCATAAAGCACCAGAAAATTATTTCAGAAACAAATATACTCATAAGTTTATGAAAAAGAATCATCATTTACCACTCCAAAAAAAAAAAAAAAAAAAAGCCATGCTACTAGTCACATGTCCCGTCCAAGAGATATTTAGAAAAACGGGGTTATGCACCTGCCATGGCTCTGTTAGAGGACGCCACGGTGCTTGACTGTTTGGCTACTAAGTAAAACCAGCAAATCAACCCAGCTAAATCCTCCTACGACAAATGATTAGTAGACACTTTAGTAAGTATTTTAGTGAGCCATCTATTGGTTACCAACTCCTCTCTTTAATTTTGTATATGAACTTGCTACTCAAGGATACGGCTCTCTAAATTGTCCCTTCCTCTCCATATTATCTCTTCCATATTATCAATTTTCCCCCTTATCTGGATCACTTCTATTAGCATACTAACACATTGCAATTTCTTCCATTTAAACAAATCCTTTACTTAACCCTATATCCCTTCTGGGCTACAGTCCAAACCTCTGGTCTTCTTTACAGCAAAAAGCCTCAAATACAATTCCTTTTCTCTCTTCTCCCTCAGACTCATTTCAACCAAACTTGTGCCTCCCCCGCTTCCCAGAACTGTGCGTTAAGGTGACCTCCAAGTTGCTCCCACCAGTGCTCAATTCTCAGGCCTCATTTTACTACTTAACCTATCAGCAATAGCACAGACGATCACTCCTTCCTACTAAACACCTTTTCCACTTTGGGCTCCAGAGAGTATTATTCACTGGCTGCCCTTTTACCTCACTTGTTAATCTTTCTCAAGTTCCTTTGCTGGTTCTTCCTCCTGTCTTTGAATACTAAGCACTGAAATAGCCAAAGTCTACAGAGGAAAAAAATGAAGCTTGGTATGAGAGCTGGTAAATGCCTCCCAGGCTGTCTACCCATAACGCTCACCACCTTGTGATATATTGTAGAACTTATTTATTCACTGTGTTTGCTGTTATTGTTATCTCCCACTATGTTATAATCTCTCCAAGGTGAAGGACGTGTCTTCTGTTTTTCGTTGCTGACTCCCAGAACCTCAAGTAGTACCAGCACATAGTAACCGATCAATAAATATTAGTTGAATGAACTGAAATTCTACTAATTTCTTTCAACCCAAAATTACTTATTTTACTAAAGCAAACCATCAGCCACAATAAGCCCTTTCTTGTCAGTACCACAGAGTAAATGGTAGATTGAAATATTTAATAGAAAGGAAAAAACCAGAGTGAGGGATAAAAATCCATTAACAGTACCTTCTTACAGCAATTTTTGGGCTCCTCAAAGCACTGCTTTCTAGCATGGCTTTTTTTCTAGCATTGAGATAGGAAGGCTCTGCACAACACTAATCAATGTTTGAAAGGAGTCAGGAACAACTCTAATAGATAAAAAGCTGGACAGACGCTAGAAGCTTGTCAGCACAGAAAATATATTTTAATTTTGCCTCATTTAAAAAAAAAAGGCAGCTGGGTGCAGTGGCTTGCACCTGTAATCCCAGTTACTGGGGGAGGGGGAGACGAGGGGAGGATTGCTTGAGGCCAGGAGTTCCAGATCAGCCAGGTGCTTTACAGGGAGACCCTGTCTTCTTTAAAAAAAAAAAAAACGGTCTTCCCCTGGTAAGTTAAAGCTCTCTGTTACTCAAATTTACAGAAAATACATTTAATAGCATCCTCTCCTTAGTTAAGAGGCTTGTGGCAGAAAAGAGACAGAACTTAGTATCTGTATGTTTTTGAGCTAAAAATTAAAACCAAATCTCAGTTTTTCTCATTTTAAAAGTGTTGATAAATACCAACCCTACTAATCTCACAGAATTGTTACATATTCATCCAATATTTGACAAATATTTAATAAATCCTTGCTACATACTAGGCACTGTTGTAGAATGCTGCTGTAAACAAATTATGATTGATTACAGTTATATGATTCGATATACTCAATCTAGATGACCTTGAAATAACTAAGGAACTCTTTTGCAAAATTATTGTATAACTAACCTTAAGAGAAAACAACTATTGCCCAAATAAATTGTCTTAATTTCTTTTCTCTTTCAATAAAATTGTTAATGAAAGTAAAATGGGCAAAATGAGTCGGGCGCCTTTTGTCTCTGCCATTTTCCTTACCCCAACCCTAGCACTGTGAGGATGGTAATAAAAAATGAAGTAGCCCAAGGCAATAAAAAAGAAAGAGGAAAAACAAAGAGGCTAGGTAAATTATCTTTGCATAATCACGAGTTAATTACCCAAGCTGATATTCTTCCCCTGAGGGGCTACAGCTTGCCACAGAAGCTCAGTCTAACAGCAAAAAACACATCATTTTGCTTCATCCATCTGTCCCAACAGGCAGAGCTTCAAGTTTTCCAGCTTCCCTTTTTCTTCTTTCAATTTCCTTCAAAGTGGACAGAAAAGCAGTATTTCCGAAGAATCCTAGGGTGAGTCACCAACTCCTAAATGCACACTAGGTTTTCTATAGTTTATTCACATTACAAAGACACGACAGACACTCCAGCAGATAAAAACAGTGCTCGGGTTCATCAAATATGCTACCACTGGAATGATACCAGGAGCCTGAGGCTGCCTGGGAGGTCCTTAAAATGTGAAAACCATATAATACTAATTGTGCATGCTGAGAATGATGTACAAACTACACTTCAGTCGACACTTTTTAAAATGGGAAAGACAGCTAGTTATTTTAAATACTTACATGCTCCTAAGAAAATAAATGTTAACCTGGTGCCACAGGCTTAGAATATCTTCAACAAATATTCATTGTTGTAGAAAAGAAAACAAATCAGAAGTAAAAATTTAGAAAAATAAACAGGAATATGACTATAGAAAATTATTGGTTTGCTTGTATTCTCTACCAATCAAAAACTACAGAAATTTTCTACTTTAGTTTGCTGATCTTTATCCTTTTAAAATGAAGTCTTGAAAAACTGTCTTACTCTAAATCACTTCCGAGTTAGCGAAATAGTGAGTAAATGTGACTAAATTACAAGTGAAAAACAATAACCTGGGTCTGGGTTTCCTTCTCTGTAAATCGTCTTGTGAGGACTGATGAATACGTTAGGTACCTATCACTGCGCTTGGCACGTGGTGGGCTCGATAAAAGCTGCTGTTATTATTTCCACCACTGTCACCCACCCAATGAACACGTAAACCATGTGCATCAATTAAAAACAACAATCCTAGGGGTTTGCTGGCCTCACATCTAGTGGCTGTTCACGTCAGCCTCTTAAGCAGGTGGGATTCTGGTGGACTTCAAGTACATATAATGCAGAAAGATAATGGAAAGGTGGATAAGGAAAGAGTGCAGAGTGAGCAAGTAGAATCAATACTTATGAGAGATTAAAGCTCTCTACAGAAAGGAAAAATAAACAAAAATGGTAGAAAAAATAGCAACCCACTGGAAAAGGGTAGATACCTTCTCCCATTCCTGCCCTTACCCTTAAGCAGACACAACAAGGCTGGATGAGAGACAGGAAGGGATTATGACAGAGTCAGGAGAGCGACGGAGGTGGAGGGTTTCTGAAACCTGGGGCGCTGCCATTTGGGCTTGTGAGGAGGCTTTTTGGTTCCTTCCTGGGTGTCAGCGTTAACTTCTATTTTGAGGCCAGAGAACAGAGCACAAAAAGCTGAAGCAGGAAGCTGGAGGCTTAGCACTTAACAGGCATAAGGGAGAAAGGCAGAAGAATAGGAAAGATGAAAAAGATAAAGGTAGAAGTTCTGTTAGGGAGTAAACATGTATTAGGCTTGACTGTCTTTTGTGCTTTGTGGAACTAAGGAGGGGAATGAACTCCAAGTATATTCTAGATTTTTCTTTAATGTGTTTTCTTCAGACATTATTTCTAACAAAACAAAACATGTTAAAATTTTTAGGATTATAGTTATAATTATGAAGTGTGTTATTAAAAATAATAACAGATGATATTGGCCAGTTTAAAACAAAAAAAATGTATAAAATGCTAAATTGCCTTTCTAATCTAGCATGCCACTTTCTCTTCCTGTTCATAAGAAACACAAAAGATAAATTTTCCATTTTATCAATTTGCAAACGATAACTCATTTTTTAAAAAATTAGTGTAAGCGGAAAAGGGGAGATAGGACTTGTTCTATGCCAACAGAAAACCTTGTAGTTTAAAAACTGGATTATCGCTTCATCCCAGAAGAATCTAATATTAAAGTGACTTGCAGCAATTCACTTATGTTACTCTATATTTATGCATAACAAGCCACCTTCTTTAGCAGTTAAAGATTAATTGGTAACTCTGGAAAATGAGATTAAAAAGGATAATGCCTAACATACAGTTCTACAATAGTCACAAAGCTATAGTTTTATAAACACAACAGAAAGTTCTAATTCTCAAACTTCTGAAGTTGGTCTTTTCAGTTTAAAGTTATCCTCATAGAAGCTTCAGCAAGAACAATTTTAACCAAAAATTATTACATAAATTCTAATTTAAGATCAGTTATAAGAAAGATAGCTAAAAATGTAATAAACCAAAAGGTATAACTTATTATTGAAAAAATCCTTCTTTTGGTCTTTTGGAACTAAGGCCACCAGTATTTTAAATCTTTCTGCAAGAAATATACCTAAAGCATTAGTGTGATTTTTTTCTTGAAAACAGAGCAATTTAAGTTTTTTTATTTGTGGTAAGTAGAAATTATAAGTAAGATGTAATTTAAAATTTAAAAATTAATTAAATTTTAAATTTCATTTCATTTCATGAAAATGCTCCTGCAACGCCTGGCATATACTCATAGCATAAGAGCATGGGTATACGCAGAAAAGGAAATAAATTAATATAAAATTTCAATTTTGCATATGTCAGAACGATCATAAAACAGTGGTTATAAAAGAACTTTAAATCATTAAATGTAGGCATAAAAGTCATGAGTAGGGTGATTCCCCCTGCCCTGGGAAAAATGAGTTGAAATGTGTTGAACCATCTTTACCGCAGCCTCAAAAAATCCCTAGTCTCTGCAACAAATAAAATAAAGTTGACTTGATCTTTGCTTGATAAAAAGGCTTAAAATATTTTTCAGGGTTTAAAATATTCAAAGCTCAAATGCAGTTTCCAAAACCAAAGAGGCAGCTGAATAAACTTTCAGCTTCAGCCATTTAAAAGCCAAAATTTCTAAGGTTACCAGAAGAACCTCCCTCCACCTACTTGAATGACAACTTCAGAACTTCCTAAGCATAGACACAGCTGCTTGTACACTTCTAAACCTAGAAACTGCATTCCTTTTCAGAGGGAAAATTGTGACTAAGTGCCAAAGTCTTAGGAGAGTATGGGGTGTCCTAGAGGTCAACAGAAGCTTACACTATGAGCATGGCAGGACATGGCATAACTAAGAGAAAATTCAGAGTAAAAGAGAGAAAAAAGAACTAGAAATGGCAGTGAAAAGAAAGGTTACCACTAGCCTCCTCTTTTTGTCCCTGAAGTATGCAGGAGGTATAAGAAAGATTCAGACGCGCTACGAAGGTCTCGCCTGCTTCATTATGAAAGTCATAATGATACTGACTTAGAGTGTCTGTTAAGAAAGAGACCTAGTTGTTAAAATTCTGGAATAAATAAGTGGTACCAGCATATTGTTTTGTGGTAAAGTCTTAAATACACATAAGTTTAGAATTAGAGTACATCCCAATTACACATAAGATTATTTCATTAATTTATTCCTGAAGGGACTGACCACACATTTCTCTTTATTAGAGAAAAGAGATTCTGTATCTCATTAAGATCTTTTTGTGTTTTTGGTTAAAAAGATCAGTGGGAACCCAGCAATTTTTTTCCATACTCAGCATACGTAAAGATGGTTTTGGTCAAATACAGTTTTAAGAATTTGTTTATCCAACAAATTCATTATACACATATACTCTTCTAAGCATTGGGAATGCAAAATCATGATATCTGGTAGGAACTTGCAAACAAATACGGTGTGTGCAAGGTGAAAGGCATATCACAGAATAAAGTAATTCTGCTTTGAGGGACCTTTAAGGCATCAAAGAGAAAATAACAATTGAATTGAACCTTTAAATTAGAGTAGGGTTTTTGTTCCACACAGAAAAGTAAACAGTCTGGTAAATTTGGTACACAAAAGTATACGGCAATTAAAAAGTAAGAGAGAGACTTGAAAAATCAATTGGATCATGCTAGAAAGTTTGGGCTTTATCCTGGTGGCAGTGAGGAGCCATTAAAGTTTTTACTTTTCAACTTTTTCTTTGAAAAATTTTAAAGTTAAAAGAATAGTACAACAAATACCTGTATGTCCATCACATATATCCACCAATTGTTAACATTTTGCCATCTTTGCTTTAATCTGTCTACATATATTAATATATTCATCTGTAATCTTTTTATTTTTGCCAAAACATTTGAAAATTAGATACCCCAATACTTTACCATTATTAAATCCTTCAGCATTTATCTCCTAAGAATAAGAACATTCTTCTATAACCACAATGCCATTATCACACCCAAGAAATATAACACCTATACAATTATATGAATAATTATTATATAGTCTATATTCAAATTTCCTTGATTACCCAATACTTTCCTTTGTGGCTGTTTTTTCCCCCAGTCCAAGATCCATTCAAGGATCACACATTTCATTTAATTGTGAAGTCTCCTCTAATCTAGAATGATTCCCCACCTTTTTTTCCTTTCATGCCATTGATACTTTTTAAGAATCCAGGCTAACAGTTTTGTAGAAGTTCCCACAGCTGGATTTGTCTGGCTGCTCATGATTAGATTCAAGCTAAACCTGTTTGGCAGGAGCACCACACAGGTCACGTTGTACTATCACCTGTGCCATCACACCAGGAGGCACATAATCGCAGTGTTCAACCACAGATTTTTTAAGGCATGGAACCAGTTTCTTCATTAGATTTATGCGTTTAGGTAACTTTGGCAGCAGTGCTGATGCCTAGGTTTTCTGGCCAAATGTTTCCAGCAAATAGACCCGAAAAAGAATTTATGTTATCTCTCTCTTCTTATATGTTACTGGCATGATCTTCTTACTCTCCCAACATATACACAATACGTCCCATAGTAATCACTCTTACTCTGATTATCAGTCACATGACTGTCAACTCATGATGGCACAAACATCAACTGAAAGAATCTGGTTGCAGACCATGCACTAATTCATGATTCCAAATACACTATTAAGAAAAAATCAACAGCATATCAAACTATTAAATCAGACAGAAGGTAACCATGGTTTTGCTATCACACAAAAAAGTTAACAGTCTACTTTTAGCTAAAACCAGTGTACAAGATAGAATTCTTATTCCAAATGCCATTTTGGAATTCTTGGCTTCACATAGCACCTAACATGTCTTAAGAGGAGTGTGCAGTAAAGGAAAATCTACTTTTTCTTGAAGGAACTCAAATCACTACAACAATAAGTCAATAGGAACTATCTTCCTTAAGAGTATTAACTACAGTAAGGATCTCCCAAATTTGACTCCATGATTGAAAAAAAAGTACTTTTACGGTTACCATTTTAGTAGCATATATATTTAATAAGTTAGTATTTTTAAAACTAGTAGATATAATAAATTTTAAGATCCTTAAAAGAAGTTAGTAAAAAAGTCATACCTGAGTAAAAATATTATGCGTTTGGCTTAAAATCCACCTGGCATCAGCATCAGGTGCTACTACTAATTTCAAGGTCCCAACATAAACGTCAGAACATAAAGTCCAAAAGTGCTGTTCTTGTAAGTTGTAAACTCCTTGTAACTGCTGCACCTGAAATACAAAGGGCAGGTATGAACATCATAATCAGGTTAAGTGCCCCTCCCACTTAAATTATTACACAACATATTAATAACATTAAACATGGGTTCTATCCACTAGTTTAAAAAAGGGGAGGATGTTTGAATTAAATGATAGAATGTACAATATCAAAAAACCAGTTCTTTGAAAAGATTAATAAGCTAGAGGAATATTTCTTAATGGGGTATATTTTGGATAGGACAATTCTTTACTGTGTATAACTATCCAAGAAACTACAGGACCTTTGCATCCCTGGGCCCCAGGGAACTAAATGACAACATACACCCTTCCCCAAATCATATGACAACCAAAAAGGAGGGAGTCTCTCAGTTTTTCCATTGGCTCCTTAAGTTTCCACAGCCTTAGGCTGAGAACCACTGGTCATTAAAGATGAGAACCAGTGGTCATACAAACTTCTGATCAAAGTAAAAAGGATTAAATAAAAGAAAATACAATTAAACAAAATACAAAATAAACAATAGGAATAATTACGAACACAATAGTTTTAAAAAAAACTGTAAAAGGGAATACAGTATCAATATAGGAATATATAAAAGATTGCGATCAAGTAGAATCCAAATACTTCTCACCACCTATACTGCTATCAGCCTACTCCAAACCAACAGTATCTCTAGTCTGGATTATTAAATTGCTTCTTAACTGGTCTAATTCTAGCATTGTACCTCTTCCATCTATTCTCAAAATAGTACTCCAAGTGAGATCCTGTTAATTTAGGTTAGATGCTACCATTCCTTTGTTCAAAGTCTTCCAATGGCTTCCCATCTCACTCTGAGTTAAACCAATGTGTTTACAATGATTTGCATGGACCCATGTCTTGTGGTACCCTTGTTACCTTATTTACCTCATCTCCTCCTCCTCCTCTTCCTCCCTCTTCATCAGAACCCCAGCCTCCTCGCCATTCTTTCAAAAGCCAGACAAACTCCTATCTCAGGGTACTTGCTACTCCCTATGCCTGAAGTGTTCTTCCTCCTAGATTTCTGCATGGTCTACTTTGGGTCTTTACTCAAATGTCCTTTTTTCAGTAAGCCCTGTCTGAAATTACAATGTTTTCATTTCTACATTTCCTTGCTTGGTTTTACTTTTTTAGCATAATAGTACTTTATCTATCTATCATCTTGTTTTTATATTGTTTATTGCCTGTCTCCTCCAGCAGAACTTCAGCTCAATAAGGTTAGGGATTTACTTTTGTTTTGTTTTTCATGTTTTATATCTTCAGCACCTAAAACAGAGCCTGGTCCAAGTAAGTGTTCAGCAAGGATATATTAAATGAATAAAAACACAATTTTGAAAACCTAGACAAAATGGATAAATTTCTGGAAATACAGAAAATGTCGTATAAAAAACAAGAAAATGGGAAAGTGGAAGGACCATTAAAAACTGAAATGGTGGCCAAGTGCCACCATTTCATGCCTGTAATCCTAGCACTCTGGGAGACTGAGGCAGGAGGATCGCTTGAGGTCAGGAGTTCGAGACCAGCCTGAGCAAGAGCGAGACTTCCTTCACTTAAAAAAAAAAAAAAAAAGAAAAAACTGAAATGGTAACAAAGCTTCCTTTTAAAAAGCCCAGACAGTAAACTTTCAAGAACAGATAACTTCTTAGTTTTTCCTGAGAATGGGAAAAAGTTGCTAGCTTATAATAAAGATAGTAAATCATAAGCTAATTCCTCTTATGAATTAAATAAGCTAAATCCAACAGCATATTAAAAAAAATAACATATCGTGACTAAGTTGGGTTTGTCACAAGAGGGAGAGAAGGCTTTCATATAAGAAACTCTATTAATGTTATTTCTCAATTAATGAAGTAAAGGAGAAAAATCATGCAGTCATTTCAATAAAGGCATTATAATTCCTTAATAAAGTTCAACATTTATGATTCAAAAAAATTATTAGAAGGACACTTCCTTAACTTCATAAAGTCTATCTACAAAAAATGTACAGAAAATAAGAATGAACCCTTTTATGTATTCTTGAAGGATCAGGAAAAAGACAAAGATGCCCAAATCACTGCTATTGTTCAGCATCTTTGTATAGATCTGGTGTAGTTGAACAAAGATAGATACCCAAGTTGAAAGAAAGGCTCAATGTGAAAAGATCTTTAAAACAATTAGAGCATTTTAAAAAGAAAGAGGCTACTCTGGGAATGTGTTAACCATCTATCCCTGGAAATGGTCAAGAAGCTGCATGACCAACTGGAAGTCACAGAGTGAATTCTTACAACAGAAGTCTGGGCCAAATGAACAGTAAGATCATTTTTAATTCTTAGATTCCGATTTTTATGTAATCTACTTGGGAAGACAATTAAGAAAATATTGATCTTATATCTATCAAAATATTTATTTTTATAAGAATTTGATGAACATAGGCATTATTTTCTATTAATATAAAGTTCAAGACAGTTGGTGAGAAATTTGAGACAATACCCACTGTGCCTTCTTTAAAGACTGCTTTTACTGGGGAAGAAAATCAAAGTGTACTTTTTCTTCCTCTTTTTGAACTCTGATGACGTTGTGGTTTTAACCTGATAGTCCTCTACATTTTTCTAAATGGCATCCTCATGGAGTGGTGCACTGTTAATAAAACAACCTGACTGCAAAGATTTTCTTTGCCTCCACTGAAGTAGCAATACAAGTACATTCTTGCAGTTATCCTAAAACATAGATTAAGGATTAATTCCTGTAGAAACTAGCTTCATAACTCTCCAAATTAAAAAATGTGAGGAAAGTGTAGCTACAGATGAAAATCTATTCCTACTCTGGCAATGTGGTATAGTACAAAGAGCATGATGATGACCTTTATAGTCAGAGCGACATGGGTTAGAATCCTGAATCAGCCACTAGCATTTGTGATTAAAGATGAGCCTCAATTTACCCAGAAAAAGGAAGATGATATCCTGTAGTTTATGGTGAAAAGGAGAAACTGTGTGTATACACACATACACATACACACACACACACACACACACACACACACACACACACACACACGACACATAGTATAGGGGCCAGCTTATCCTAGGCATTCAAAAATTGTCCTTCTCACTTCCACAAGTATGTTGAGTGGTCTTACCTTAAAATCATAATCACAAATCTTAAATGGGCAATACATTCACTTTCCCTTTCTCAAAAGCCTCGTTTATACCATTCCCTTTTTTTCTAGCCTTCTAATCTCTCTGCATAATTATACTGCTTTATAAATTGCAGAGAAAATAGAAGCACACAGGAAAATCCCTCATCCTATACCATTAAATCTACCAGATGACCATCATGTATGTCAGTCCTTTCAACCTCAGGGGAAGCTGTATCCCTGCTCCTGTCTACAATTAATCCTTCCATTGTGCTTTGGGTTCTATCAATTCTCACCTTCTCAAGAACTTCATTCCTTTAATAATCTCCTTCACTATACTGTATCATCCATTCCTTCCTCTCAGTTGGACTGTTCCTATGAATAACACACATGTTCTAGAAAGATGATGTGCAAAACAAAAGTCACTAGACACATGTGGCTATTTAAATAAATAAAAATTAAATTTAAAAAATCAGGTACACTAGCCACATGTGGCTTGTGGATTCAATATTGTACAGTGCAAGCCGGGCATGGTGGCTCATGCCCATAATTCCAGCACTTTGGGAGGCTAAGGCAGTAGGATCTCTTGGGGCCAGAAATTCAAGACCAGCCTGGGCAACATAGCAAGACCCATCTCTACAAAAAAATTAAAAAATTAGACAACATGCACCTGTAGTTCTAACTACTCAGGAAGCTGAGGTGGGAGGATCGCTTGAGCCCAGGAGTTCAAGGTGTCAGTGAGCTATGATCATGCCACTGCACTCTAGTTAAAAGTGCACTTTCCAAAAATAATGGACAGTGTAGATTATAGAACATATAATCAGAAAAGTTCCATGCAATTATACTGTTTTAAAATATCTTATTTTAAAAGCAAATACCTTCTCTACTGATACTATATCCATAAAATACCCTCTCTCCTGATACAACATCCACATCCAGGATATCAACTCAGTTCTCTGTTCCTTTTAACAACACTTCTTAGAAGAGTTGTCCGTAGCCACTGTCTCTACTTCCCCAGTTCATTTTCTCCTCAACCCACTGAAATCATGCTCTCCTTTCCAACATGCCAATGAAACTGCTCTCATCAAGGTCAGTAATGATGTTCATGATGCCAATCAATGATCACTTCTCTATTCCTACTTGCTTGACACCACAGAAAAATTTGGCAGGCATAGTTGATTACTTCTTCCTTCCTCAACTCTGTGATCCTATACTGTTCTGGTTTTCCAGCTCTCTTACTAACCATTTGCTTTCCTACCTGTGCTCTAAATCTTGAGTTGAAATTAGAGCTAAGAGAACAGAACTATAACCTCTCCCAAGGTAATCCCATACAATATAAATGTTTTAGATGCTAATCATATATTGATGACTCTAAACTCTTTCTAATCCTATTCTGTCCCCAAAACTCCAGATCTGCATATCCAGCTACTTAATCAACCTTTCCCCTAGAAATATGATATGCATTTTCAATTTTTACATACCCAGAATAGAACTCTTCATTTGGAGGGATTTTCTGTACTCAAACCTATACCAACTCAGCCTCAATCTTAACAAGTGGCATTAACATTTAACAAATTGTGAACCAACACTTTTTCTCCTTTGCCAATATAATCCACCTCCAAAAACATACCCCAAATGTATATTTGTCTCCATCTTCACTGCTACAACTTTAGTTTAAGCCACCATTTTTTTTTCACTAAGGTAACAATACCCTTACAACTGATTTTCTTTGCTTTTATTCTCCATAGAATTTGTGCTCTATACAGCAAACAGAATAATCTTTTAAAAACATAAGGTTTATGACACTTCTGTTGCCGTAAAAGGTTTCCAATGCTTCCCATTGAATTAGAATTAAATATAAGCCTCTTAGTATGACGAAAACCCCTATATGATCTGACTCCTTCCATTCTTGCCAGCCTTTCAAGCTGCTCTTCCCTTTATTTATTATGCTTCAGCCACAATGGCCTTTTTTTCCGTTCTTCAAAAACACTAAATTAGTTCCAGCCACAGCACTTTTGCATTAGCATTTTCCTTTGCCTGGAACATTCTTCTCCAGGATTTTCATACGGTTAGCTTTTTCTTGTCATCAAGGTTTGAATGTCCTTGAATATAACTTTCTCAGTGAATCTCTTGTAGCCATCTATGCCTATCACATCACCTTATTTTATTTCTATATAGTAATTATCACTGACATTTTCTTATATATCCATTTACTGTTTACTGCCTATGTTTCCCCAATATAGTGTAAGCCCCATGAGAACAGAGACATGGCCTGTCTCGTTAACCATTACATTGCCAATACGTTAGAAGAATATCTGGCACAGAGTGGGAGCTAAAAAAATATATGTTGTGTAAATGCTTATATCATCTGCTATCCATATTCTATATTTTAAAAGAACTGCTCAATTTCTAGAGGAGGACAATTTCTACTACATTTTCTTTCATAAAGTATACAATATTTTCCAATGATTTTATTGTTTTGTATAAATGGCATTCATGGTTAGCATTCAATCTTGGAAGAAATATTCAATTATACACACATGCTACCCTTATTTATGAAAGTTGAAAACCCTAACAGTTTGGAAACAATATAAAATCCAATGGTTTGGAAGCTTTGAAACTTACCCTCTGATAGCACTGAGGCAGAGTATTTTCCAACAGGGGAGGAGTTCTCTGCATTAATATTCCAACAGACTCTCTTAAAAGAGGAATAACACTAAGGAAAAGGAAGACAACAAGTTTATTAAAACCACATTCTGACAATCCCATCCTGTAAGAAAGTAATAATATACCTCTCTATAGTAGGATATAATAAGATTTATCAGAATAATAAGAGAAAAAAGGATGATTGTTTCAAATTTTCCATATGATCAGTAAGTTATCTAATGTAAAAATTAAAAAAACTAGAGAAAATGTATCAATGTATGAAAGACTAAAGTTATAAAACTGAATAATCTTGGATCATCTAAAAATCTAAACACAGGACATGTTCAACTATTATTTAAAATATGATTCCATATGATCAAAACCTTCCAAGTAATCATAGACTATCATGCTGACTGGCCTTTAATATTTATCAAATATTTACATATATTTATCTGAATCGTACTGATAAGCAAAATACACAAAAAATTAATACATCAGTCTATTCATCTAATATTTCTGAAACCTGCTTATCAGTCATATCTCCTTATTTAAAAATTATAGAAGCCTGGCTACAACCACAGATGTAGTCAACTCCACACCTCTAAAAGTCTGTAGATGTTGATGTAGCTAAGTCCTAAACCAGTATTTGAAACTACTGCTTTAGGCTATTTGGATGATTAAATGTACACAAAATAATTAATCATGTAATGGCAAGGGTGCTTCCAATGCAATGACTTTCTAACCTATCTACATATCAAATTCACCTTAGTGTCTTGTTTTGCTTTCATTTCTGACATAATGAAGCAGAATCTTTGAGGTAATGTCCAGGCATCTATGTTTTTAGAAAGCTCTCCTTGTGATTCCAGTGAGTCAGGGTGGTAATGCATTGTTCTACTGCTTGAAGTAGATTAAGAGGGGAGGTCAGAAATAGATTCATTACACTTAATAGCCTAAACCAAGGCTCACTTTAAAACTTATAGAATCTCAAAATTTTTAAAGTAAAACTTCTCCTGATAATAACTGTAGATGCAGATAAGAGGAGCATACACCTTTCAAGGAAGGTCTCACAGGAAGAGAAGTGGAAGTGTACCTTAAGGATTAGTGGTATTTCTGACACACAGAAAGGAGAGAGAAGATACTAATAAGGACCCAAGGAAACAGAGATGATGCTTGTCTTGCTCACTATTATATTCCCAAGGAGGTCTAATAAAGCACTGCTCATAAAGTGGGCCCATGATAATTGTTGGTTGAATAAATGATAGATACAGAGCATAGAGCTATCGGGTGTTTTAGAATATGGATTAAAAAAGGAAAAGGGCCCAGGAAAGAGATCAGGAGACTTTTCCCACACATTAAGTGATAAGTTCTTGGATAAGAAGAATAACAATAGAAACAGAGACAAATAAAGTTTAACAGGCAGAAAGAAAGAACTGGGGTCTAACTGGATACAGTGAAAGACAGTGAGAGCAATGTTAAGGACAAACCTTAGACTACAGAAAGTGTGGAGGGGATGACTTTGGCTCTAGTCTCAGGCAGCTGCACTGATGGCTTCCAATGACCCTGTCTACCTTGTATTCATGCCCTTGTGTAATGCCCTCCCTTCAGCGTGGGTGGGTTGGGGAACCTAGTGGCTTGCTGCTAATAAATAGAGTATGGCAAAAGTGACAAGACGTCACTGACACGATTAGGTGAAAAGACTTTGGCTTCTGTCTTGTACATCTTCTTCTTTTGCTCTCACCTGCTTTCTCACAGCTGCTGTGCTGTGAACTGTACTAGAGAGAGGCAAAGGCGGCAAGAAGCTGAGAGATACCTCTAGAGAGAAACCAGACCCTCAGTGCAGCCCAAAAGGAACAGAATACTGTCAGCAACCACTTGAATGAGCTTAGAAGCAGATTCTCCCCCAAATGAGCCTTGCAATGACCGCAGCCCTGTCTGACGGCTTGACTGTTGCCTTGTGAGAAACCCTGAGCCAGAGAGCCCAGTTAGCCTCTCCCGGGTTCCTGAACCACAGAGAGTATTAGATAATAATGTATGCTATTTTAGCTACTAGGATTTTGTGTAATTTGTTATGTATTCATAGATAATTAATGCACCATTTTTATAGAGCCATTAGACTAATCTATATAAAGTAAGTATGTGATTCTATCTCCTTCCACACTAAAAAATGTGTCAAGAGTTCCCCACTGCCTAGGGGAGAAAGTGTAAGCTCTTTAACATGGTATATCTTTGGATCTGGCCCCCTCTAGCTTCACCTCCTGTCAATCCTTCCTTCACATTTTAAGCTCTCCAAACATAAACATACTTGTACTTCACTGTATGCTAGTTCTTACTTTCATGCTTTGGCTCATGCTATAACCTCTGCCTAGAATGTTCCTAGAGTGCCCTTCAATCTGGCTTACATTATTTCTTTAAAATCTAAAGTGTTACCCACTTTAGCATATATTTCCTGATCCCAGACTGTCCTCCATAATGTATGAAATGTCCTCTCTGAGCTCCTATAAAATGCTGTGATACCTATGGTATTATTATATTACAAGACAATTGGCAGCTTTTGTTTCTCCCTCTCACTCTAAACTGAAAGCTGCTTTAAGGTAGGGGTTCTGTCTTATTTGTGTTTGTGTACCTAGCATCTCAAACACTGTTTGGCAAATAAATGTTTATAGAACAGATTTCATAGTTGAATCCATTAAACATAATTCGTTCATTCATTTAAAAAGTATATTTAAGGCCAGGGATCAATACTAAATCTTGCAGAATGTATGGGGGTTATTAACAGTTAGGAAAAAGCACTACTAAAGACAATATAGGCATAGTAACTAAAGCATCAGGGAAAAAGGGAAACCTATTTCTATCAGCAGTAAATGCCTAAATGAAGGAAGAAAATACAAACAGAAAAAGGCCATTAGATTAAACAATAAAAATCATGTTAAAGGCCCCACTGTACAATTTGAGGAGGAGTAAAAGCCAGCTTGGAGAAGGTTGAAAGAAAAAAAATGGATGGAAACCCACTGGAAGTAGAGTTAAGGATTTTGAATAGTGAAAAATATTGTTTATTCATTCATTTAAACTGAAGCATGGTATCTGGTTCTACCTACTGTGTTGTTATTAAATAGGTAAAGACTCCCTAGCTTTACAAAAAAAGCAAAGAAAAACATGATGGTAGACTAAAAAGGTACAATTCAGTCATTATGATATTTTTCTTTACTCTCTCCATCCCTATTTCTCAGGAAAAAGAAAGGATCTGTCACAGAATTTTTTTACATACGGAGCTTAAAATTTTTATGCTTTCCTACTTTCCTTACTATACTTCCCAGAAAATGAAGCACAAAAAGGATTCTTGAATTGTTTGTTTGAGAATAAGAGAAAAATTCTTTTTCCTAACTACGTGCCTCCTAAATTTAGGTATTTTGCTAATTTCTTCTCCAATTGTATCCTAAGGAACTGCTAATTATGTCTAGATATGTGAGGTGGAAATCACACTCAAATGAAAATCACGACACCTAGGTTCTAATGCTGCCATTAAATAGCTTTGCGAAAATCGTATAACCTTCCAGAGCATCTGATTTCTCATCTATAAAATAAACCCGGGCAATTTCTTCTATCTTTAATATATTTTTCATTCAATAATAAAACATGGTTAAACTATAAGGAATACTAGAGGGAGAATATATTTGGAAATGAAAGAAAATATAAATTATTTTTATATACTAGGAAAAAAAGGCAATGTAACCAAATGACACATAAGATAAATCTGGCAAACTGATTTATTCCATCACTAATTAGGTAATCCTAAAAATTAATTTTATTAAGCAATCAATACAAAGGAAGCAATTATTAAGCACCTACTACTATATGCTTGACATTAGATTTTCTAGAACCAGATGGGAACTTACTCTGGAGTTGTGAAAATAGAAGCCTAGATCACCAAAGTAACTTGCCTAAGGATACAACTTGCCTAAGGATACAACTAATGAGCAGGAGAGCTCATTAACAGACCAGGTCTTTCGACTACAAGTTCAGTTTTGAAAAGTTCAAGTTAATAAACATTTATTATATGCCTACCACGTGCCAAGCATGTGCCAGATACTGGAAATAAAGAGATAAATACTACACAATATCTTACTTCAAAGAAATTTATAACTTTGTTTTTAAAAGCCTATAGAGAAGGCAATGGAAATCGGGCAACAAACTTATTTAGGACCCACCATTTAGAAGAAGGCATATATGGATTTAAAACAACTATAGATTATGCCTATATCCATTTTCATTTTCCATTAACTTTTGGTGAATGGTTTTCTTTATTGGTGTGCTAATAACTTACTTTTAAATATATCTTTAAAAATGAATGGGAGGAAAAAAAGGAATAGAAGAGGCATGCATAGTATAGGCAAAGAAATTACTTAAGCAATAGCTATGAAATATCTTTTCCAAACCACTTTTAAAATATTTATCATTTTAGAATGGTTAGGCTTAGTCTAATTTCCCCCCCAAGGAGCTAAAACACAGTAAGTAAGAGATGGTGAGTCCCATCTATAATAGTTCTTGAGGAGATCAGCCCTAAAACATTAAGGACATTCCCTTAGGCAGTCCTATAGTTCCTTAATAAGTCACCCAGAAGAATCATCTACAGACTTACCCAAATCTTTGTTCAAATTTATATGTGTATATTCCATGTGTGTAGTCTCCCAAAATCTGCTATTCTCTGCCACCACTTTTGTAAAAAAGAATCCAATACTTCCCCTTTCCTCCTAAAATTCACTTTAACATGAGGTCCTTACTTTGAGGATTCTAGAACTGGTAAAGAAGTTCCATGATCACAGATAATACCTTATTAGAATTAAAAGGGGATTTAGAGATCACAAATTTTAACACTCAATTTAAGAACCATATGCAGATAAATATTTTTTTTTTATTTCAGCATATTATGGGGGTACAGATGTTTAGGTTACGTAAGTTGCCCTTACCCCCACTTCCCCCAAGTCCGAGCTTCGAGCATGTCCATCCCTCAGATGGTGCACATCGCACTCTTTGTGTATGCATATACCCGTCCTCTCCTCCACCCCCCACCCG